TTTTTAAAATTTATGTTCGTTCTGATTTAGAGTTAAGTACTCCAGTCTTCATTCCTGCAAATTCAAAAGTACCATGGTTATTGAGGAAGATAAAAAATACTCCCATAGGGACCTTTTTATCATGGGTCTGATTTTGGTTACAATGGGGTTCCGTTTAGCATGCGTATTAAGTTTAAGGCAGATAGGTCTGTCTATAGTGCTAGTCTTTTTTCCACTAGGTATTTCTCCCTTTCTAGTCCTTTAATTCTACATTTTTTCATCGATAATTCGACATTTCTTATTTTTTCTGTAGTTGTCTTCTTGTTGTCAACTATTTTTGAGCCTCTGTCGGCAACTTATTTTTTGAGCTTCACTCTAGGTTGAATTCATTTGTTTTGTTGTAAGAATGTAGCCTGATTTTGTATTGAAAAAAATAAACGGTTCAGTAAATAAGTCCTTGTTCTTTGCTTAGCAGAAATTATTCTTATCATATCTGGCGGTTTCGCGACTTTTTTCCCGCGAAGTAGCCCAGGAGAGATAAATGCTTTTTTAAATGAATGACTTTTAGGTGCTTATACATGCTCGAGAGATAATGAAACAGAACAAAAAAAAACACAGCAGAAACTGTGGTACAGCTGATAAATGAATGTAAAGAGGGCTTGACTATCATTCGCTTTGGTGCTTCTAATGTGAGCACCAATGGTGCAGCGGTATCATTGTGCCCTCCCACGGTACAGATCCGGGTTCAACTGCCGGTTGGTGCAAAGTTTTGCATTTCGTGTTAAATGCAGCGATTTGATTTTTTACAAGAAGAATTTGGATCTGACTATGACAAGGATATGCTGGATTTCTTGTAATGAATAGTTTCATATTTTACTTCTGAAAAATAGGAGGTCCACACCTTGAAAATGATCGTAGACCAGTTCTCGCTTTCAAATGAACTTGACAGCGAACCATATTCCCGAGTATATTATCTTAGATGTCATAATGAGGCTAGCGTTGCCTAGCAAGTACCAGTTCCTCGCATGCATTGCATTAACTCTCACCTCCCGTATATGGAAAGCGGTGTCGGGGAGTGAGAGAACAAATAAGAGGCGC